GTGCGGTGTTCGATGACGTTTGGGCCACCCACTTGAGGTCCGAAATCACCATAGAATAACCGTTATTTGTCCTGTAGGTATAAACGTTTTCCAGGTTTTAAGCCACTTTAATATCGAAGCACTTTAAAAAGCTATAAGCAAAAAGCGAGCAACTAGCCACTTGTGTGTGTGAGTGATTTGCCTCTAATACTTTGTTTGTTCTTTTGCACGCTCTTTCGCCTCGTACTTCGTGTGGCAGCGTTGCTTTTTCAATATCAATCAGCTGTAAAAACATCTATTTTCCAATTCGCCTTTCGCCCGATATTCCAAGGAAATCTCTCGCTGCTCACACAGACGGGCAGACTGACTGGCACGCACGCACACCCCCACACATTCCCATATGTTCGCCGACGTTGCCCGGCAAATGTTTTTTTTGTTGTTTACGTTTGCGTTTTGACGGCGCCGTCAGCTGTTTCAAAACAAATCGGTCAGGGTTGCCAGCTGGCGTCGTTTAATATCTACTAAATATTCCTGGTCTATCTAAAAATACTGATTTTCTACTAAATTTTAAAAGTTTGCGCGCAATTCAAAGAACATCTATAACGCTTAAAACAAAAATTTCTTACATTATTTTCGGAACTTCTATTCTGTTTTTCTTTGGTCCTGAATCGTTATAACGTTAACTATTAATGCTTAATAAGAAACTATCTAATTAAAAAGGGACTTGTTTTTGTATATCTATGTATTAAAAATATACTGCAATATTATGCAAACCATAGTTATTAACTCGTAGCATTCGAGTGCTTACAATACTGCTTCATATTTATACTTTAGTTTTAATAAAAAATTAAAGAATTATAATAACACAACTGACGTGGTAAAAGCAAATATCTTTAATATGGTATGTTATTCCCATCGAAATTATTTGAAAAGATTATTACATTTTTGGGCAGTTTTTATCCGGTATGTGGCTAAGTAACTTGGACTTTAATAAATATATACATTTTAGATAAATGTAGCAATTAATTCCTAATAGTTGAGACACGCATCCATGTTACCTGACTCTTTAAATTACTGTACTGCGAATGGCTTTCAAAACCTCATTAAAAACTAGTTTTTATCTAAAAACCCATAATTAATCAAAACATTCTAGCAACTCCTGAAGGTTGTCCAAATGAAAAGTGCATTGAACTGCGGTCTGGGAAAGGACAACAAATTCGGCGCTTGTCTGGGAATTCAACACGTTGCCAATTCACAAAGCCGTGCGCAAAAAAAAAGAGAATAGTACACAAAAAATCCAGAGGCAAAAGGGTAAATCTTGGTTGTGTCTGAAATCATACCGGTGAGAAGGGAGCCAGTCCTAATTGCATTTGCAGCCGCACAATCGAGTGGTTTTTTGATAAGTCATCCTCATCGACAAGGGATGCAGTCGCAGCACGAGAGATTGCAAATTTTTCGGGCTTATGCAGCAATTTTTATATCGTTTTTTTTTCGGCATTTCACTTATGATTAATGGAGACAGGCAAAGGGGTTGAAACAGAACAGTCACATTTAATTCCTGGCGATCGTTGCTGGATCAAATGTCAATTATCACAAACACCTCGTAGTTGCTGGCCTCCGGGTCCTGAACGATCTGCATGGCCGAGTATGTGATTGCCTTCACCTCGGTGCCCTGCGGATGTTTTCCCAGCTCGAAGGGTTCCCCGTAACAACGGCAGGAGATCTCGAAGGTTTCCATATCAAACTTGGTTATCTCCAGCTTTTTGCATACCAGATTCGGTTCGGCGGAGAACAGGAAGAGCAGCTCGTCGAGAAAGTGGAAGAGTAGTCCCTCCAGATCGTCGCCCTGCGCTTCAATTTCAAAGCACTGCTCCACGGACACGTAATCCAGTTCTGTCATGTATCCAAACATGGCCACTCCGCACTGTTCGAACGCCTCTTTCAGACTCGTCCCCCAGCCGTGAATTCTGTTAAATGGGAGAGAATACACATGGTTTTCAGCACGGTTGACAATAGTAGTGGATGTTTTGCCTAAAACTTTGTAATAGCATAGTGAAAAACATTTTACTAACTCCTAAGCTTCGTATATTAAACAAAAACGGTGAAAAGGATCAAAACCGCTGACTATCGCAATTTTAGGGCCCAAATAGCTGATACGCTTGTATATATATTTCTTTTAGGGTTTAGGTGTTTAGGTTTTTTAGGCTGAACAACAAAATACTGTTTTAATAAATTTCTTTAAATATTTCGAACAATATTTTTGGCTGAAACGGTTTATGCTTTAATCTTTAGGGTATTCTTGACGCACGATTAAGTCATATACATAAGGTAACTTCGGAAAGCCGATTAGACGAATTTAAATATTAACTAGCGTAAAAACGTTTGATACATATTTCAAAAAACATCAAAATTGTATTTGCTGTCGCAAAGGTTCATATGTCAGCTATAGGATATAGTTACGCGATCGGCAAGCCTTTTTACACTGACCATGGCACAAACATATACATATGTTCATCAACAGTGAGGGTAGTAACAATTGGTTTTATAAACAAACATATGGACAAAAACTTATTGAATTGCTATGCCCCAGGGTAATTGGCCAGAGGGAAAGAATCTCGAAAACCTATACCTTCTAGAAATGACTAATTCGATAAATTTAAAATTTGTGTTGCAAGCCCCCGTAATGAACTTGAAACCGCAAGTAATATAACATAATATATACAGGGGTGCCACAGAAATCAATTCAGCGATAAGAAATAAAAAATTTATTTTGACGTACGTAAGAAACTTACGCTCTGCGATTTGTGAAACACCCCCGATATTGTCACACTTTCCTTATATTTTGAAATGGTAAAACTGTAAACTTGCATGACTTATTTATCTTAATGAATTGACTTTTCCAGACTTGAATTCCTTAAAAGTGAAAAATAATAAATTCGCAGTGAATTTCTCAGCAGATATGCAGTTCTATGGTAGTATCAGTATCTGTGTATGAAACAGCGTTCTTATTTATTATTTTACGAAGAGAACTAAACTGGCCTTAAAAATAAAATGAAATAGTTGTTAGTATCTGTAAATCACTAAACGAAATGGTATTTCCCCAATTGGAAGACAATCAAGCTAATAAGAATTCCACTTATAAGATTTTCCGATTTCATATTTACAGATATCGAACCACCCTACTCCACATGGTCACCGAACGCCGTTGTTGTTGTCTTACTCACTGCACATCCGCCGTGTGATCCAAGTCTGCAAAACAATATGATGAAATACTTAGCAACAGGTGGCTCACTTTCCAAATCCAAGATCTACTCACACTCATACTTCACCTCCGGCAGCAGAAAGTTCTCCTTGCTGAACTCCACTTCCATTATTGATATTTATAACTAAAATTAACGAGAGATAGACCGCTAAATAACTATAAACAAACCAGCAATCGCACAGTATGACCGTCGTGAGTCTGGTGAAAAATACCAACTCGCGCCATGTCGAGAATAATACTGAAGTCTAATTAGAAAGGAATTTAAAAGATACTTAATTTAAATACATACGAGCATAATTATGTATAAAACTTAAGCTTTACAAAACATTGCAATATTTTTTTAGAGCACCCACCGTTTTTTAAAATGTTAATATCAAAAAATAAATAAATATTATATAGTAATATTTAGCAGTTATTAATATCAATTTTTTTAACCGAGTTATTGGCAGAAGCTTATATAATTCACATATTTCACGTTTTATTTTATTGGAGTATCTTCTAAACGAGTGCTGAAAACATTTAATGGCTTAAATGGTGGTTGAAATTGAAATGGACTTGGACGTTATTTTTAAGCTATCTTTCCCTTAAGGCATTTTATCCTTTATTGCTGCTATAATATGAAGTAATTTAAACAGAAATTAAAGCAGAATTTCCAGTTTATTAACATCATTTGTTATCGCAATTAAAGTACTATAAAGTGCTCGAGTATCTTACAAGCCCCGTTTTAAGTTTCTGTAAGAGCGACCTTGTCCTTTCATTAAATTATAATCACCATAACAACTGAAGCTGCAACCTTGTGAGATCCATTTGGCAAAAAGCAGTCCACAATCTTCTTCTGCTGACATCGGCCGCTTTTCTGTCAATCGCTACATTTTAATCACGCGCGATTGTCAATCACGAAGCTCAATTTATTCAATTCCATGAACTTGAGAGCCGGTTGTGTGTACTTGATTTGATACGAAAAATATTACCTTAGGCGGATATGGGCTTGCCTAATTAAATTCAGATCACTTTTCAGTAGCGATGATCGGTTATTGCCAGCTATGAAGATGTTTGGGGAATATGCAATTCATAGATCATTAAAAAAATATACATTTTATATAAAAATCATACAACCAAACTTAATTTTTGGAATTGGTGGCTTAAGCTAGATACTCACCTCAATCGAAGACGACATACAGAAAAGGTTATGAGCCAAATTTAATATAGATGTTCATTTAGTTGCTTTTTTGATTATATTTTTTATCAATAACTTTAGAATTAAAGTCAAAATGATACCGATTCCAAAAGTAAAGTTCAGAGCCTGTTTACCACAATCATTTTTAGGATAGATAATTCTATTTTTATAATTTTTGCGTTTAATTTTAATCAAATTGTGATATTTTCTATCTTCTTGGCTATTATAATATTTATTTAAGTGGCTTTATTTTTATTAAGCAAATCTTAAAGAGTATCTTCAAGTCGTACTCCTCCCAGTCCAAGAATTCCACGCACTTCTAAGTGAATTTATGAATGGTTTTCGCCAGTTATTTACGACTGTTTGGTTTTTTTGTTACTTATTTTCAAGTTGGGTATGAGGAAACGCGACAAGAGGGTGTCAAACTATATACCGCGTTGACAAAGCTCAAGTTTGTGCCCGGCCATTTCATGGATTTCAAACATTTTCCTGCTATTTTTGTCGTTTTTTTATTATGGCTCATTTGGCTGCTGCTGCCACTTTTGGTGGAAGCTCTTTTTCTCTCGATTGCCCAGTCTTGGAGTGGTTCAGTTGGCTACGGCAGCTCGACTGATTCACGTCGCGTATTCGGCTCAAATAACTGTATAATTATTATAATTCTCGAATTTTTGCGCGCCTTTGCATACGAGTTCCAGAATTTCATATTTGGTTATAGCATATTCGGAACAAAAAAATAAATAACATAGGAGTGACTGAAAAGCTCTGGAGTTTCCCAACTCTACTAGACTAAGTAGCTAGGTAACTACTAGTTTTGTTAAATAACTGACCGTTGGTCAACTGCAATTGCAACCGCTAAACTGAACAATTGCCAAATATTATCATACGTTGTTGCTTTTGTGTTGCATGAGTGGCTGCCTCCAAGTGGATATAAAAGTGGTTCGCACCCCCAAGTTTGTGTCTTGTACAAGTCTTTCGTTTACCACTGTTACTATGTTTCTACACTAACGTACATTGTTGTGGTTTTCTTTTCATGACATGTGTTTGCTGCAGCACTGAGACCAGTAATAATCTGTACGCGTATATTAAAGGGGTCAAGTGCAGGCAAACAAAAAGATTACCAAACAAATTACACGAAGATGAGGTCGTTTGAAAAGTACATGTACATGGTTGCGATAAAAAGTGACACTTTTTGGTTTAGACTGTGAGATTTTGTACAAATTAAACCTTCGAGAAAAAATGCTATGGTGAACTACAAATATGTATTAAAAGAATACAAAGTACTATATTTAATTAAAAAACAATTTTAATAAAAATAAAAATAGCTTTTAGAAATTAAATTAATATAAATATCGTGCATTATTTACTTACTAATTTTAAAAAAATGTACATCCTACATTTTCGACCTTCACAAATGATTAAATTTTGATAATAATAACTTAGTAGAAAAGATTTCTAGCAGTAATAAAATTCTAGAAACAAATAAAAATGTCTTTTTCAATCTATATTCACCTAAAAAATTATCTTCATTTGACAAATCAGTGTAATTCAAAACTAAAACATTTCATAAAGTCATTGACTGAACAGGAAACTAGTTTTAAAGAGGAAGTAAAAGGTGACAAGTTCCTATAAAACTGTAACAGTAAAAAGTAGTATAATCAATATTCAATCACATTTGATCACATTTGATATTAAAGTGATAACAATAAAGCAAGTTCCATAATCCAAAACTGAAAACCAATTAAATATATAAATCAATAGACGATCAGCAAACTGTATGCAAAACCAAGGACACTTTGACCAGCAAATACCAGTGGCTCTTCACGCCCACAAGAAACGATCATTTACTTAAAAATAAATATAAACAAAACGCGAGCAAAGTCACATAAACAATAAAAACTACACGTACATTTATCTTAGCAATTATCAGTCTCCAAACAGTTGCTGCGAAACTCAAGCCGTCAACATGTCGCAACAGTGGTTCTCAAACTGTGCCAGGCATGTCATTTATTTGGCGGGATTCTTGCTCTTTGCCGTTCACCTGGCAAATGCCTCCAGCCAGATCGATGTTGACGCAGATCTTAGGCACATGCTGGGCCGTTGCCATACGACAGACGAGGATTTCAACGAGTGCATGCGGCAGGTGTTCAACGATCTGAGGGCCTACTTTACTACAGGTGAGTGGGACTTGGATTACGGGCGAGCAATCATGGGGTAACTCTTTTAGGTGTGCCCGACTACAACATAAAGCCCTTTGACCCGCATCACTGTACCTATGTTGAGCTGCGGCGAGGTGACTCCCATGGCCTAGGCAGCTTTCGGCTCATCTTGCGCAATGTCTCCGAATTTGGATGGGCGCGATCCGAGGTGACCAAGTTCCATGCCGATCCCGAGGACAGGCGTATTGTCTACACTCAGTATTTCCCGGAGAAAAGTCTAGAAGGAGAGTACGAGTTCGCCGCCAAGATGCTGGGCACGGATATGAACCGAAAGGGCCACTGGAACCTAACCCTCTACGACTACAGGTGAGCAGAGTGTTGCACTCAAAATATTTCCCAAGCCGAGTTGCCAACATCTGTATTGTTTTGACTCTGCTGCTCCCAATTTGGCCACCTACCGCTCACCTTAATTTTTCCCTCCTCAGTCAAACCACTAGCGTGCGACGCATCGGGGACCCGGGCTCTCTGATCAAGGTCCACGTCGAGGTGGATCGCATCGGCGGAATGGAGCTGCACATTGAGAATCTGCTACAGGGTCAGCCACTCAACCAACTGGCCGATGGCGTTATCAACAGCATGTGGCAGCTGGGACTGCCGTTCATCAAGCCGATGATTAATGAGTTGGTCAGCACAGCATTTACGGACATTTTCAACGAGTCCTTCCGATATTTTCCACTCGAGAAGTTCCTCGCCACGTGACCTCATCTAGTTGATCGTATTTGTTTTGTAGTATTTTTAATGGATTTTCTTACAAAGGCTAGTTAATTAAACACCTAGACGACATCTGCCAAAGTACTGGCGATTAATTCGTTGTGGGGTCTCGGTCTGGGCGGTTGCAGGGACATCAGGGCCAGGGTGCGGCCAAAGAGCTTTCTTAGCGAGATGATCACGTAGGAGGAGCTCTGCAGCTGCTGGTCCACAGTCTCGTAAAGAAGCTGGTAGGCCTGCTCCAGCTCCGGCGTTAGTGTAGCTAGAATAACACAGAATGGAAAATGAGTCTACAGTATAATTTAATGGGTATTTTAATAAGTTGTCTTATAATTTGGAACAAAATATTAAGGTATGGTTTTAAAAAATCTATTAAAAATCGATAATGAAAATAATTATTATGAACAATTTATGTAAGGCTAGCTTTAACTTTATAATTTCCTGTTGTTTAGAGTTAGTGTTTTGAAGTGTTTAGAATATATGTGTTTCACTTACGTTTTTGCTGCAGCTGCTGCTTGCCAAGGTCGAACATGAATCGCAGGTAGCAGAGCTGATTGTACAGGTCCCGCTCCGTATACTGACGCAGCAGGCTGCCGCTCCGGCACTTTTGGCACAGCGGTCGGCGCATCTCCTTTCTCAACGTGTGAGTGCGGGTGTTGTAATTGCAATCCGGATGATCGCAGACCAGCCAATTTTTGTAGAATCGTTGCACATACCGCCGAATGGAAAGTTGCAACTGATTACGGACGCTGGCCAGGTACTGAACCGGTGCCGTTTGGCACTCGGTATTCGCGCATTGTTGGAGCACGGAGATGTGCGAACTGCTGGGTCCCGGGCGGTAGGCGCTGGCCATCAGCTGCTCCGTCTTGCAGGCTATGCACTGGAAGCGGAACGGCTCGCAGAGGCGGTACAACTGGAGGGTCGTCTTGAGGAGGGATTCGCCCTCCGACTGCTCCGTATTATCTCGCTGGACTCTTTAAAGGAATACAAATACAATGAAAGATGGTTTGGAAATGTAAAAGATTAGATTAGAATGGCTCAATTAAATACGAACCTCTGGGCATTCTGTCGGAACTTGCTGGGATCCATGCCCAGACACTCGGCGATCCGACTTGCGTCGGTTCCCTCTAGCACCTCAACCATGCGCGTGACCACCGGATGTACCTGATGTCCCAGGTAGTAGTTCGTGTCCAGCTGGAGCTTCTTTTCCTCACTACTCTTGAGCTCATCCAAATGGTACGCTCGCTGCATGGCAGCGTTTGTGGTGCCATCCAAACAGATCACATAGTCTACCATGTCACCCTTCTTGTACCGCCTGTTGCGGTCCCGATTCATGCGAAGAGCCACCTGGACGTGAGGTAATGAAGCGCTATTGGCATATTCCTGTGGGGCACGAGTAAGCTGCTTGGTGATGACAAACAGGGGTAGAGGTACAGCGCCCTCGTTTATTTGATTTTTGATCTTTTCCAGTTGGGCATGAACTGCATCGAGTTTTTCTTCCAGCGGTTTTTCGGCCAGAACTTCATCGAGCACAGCTTTTCCCACCATCACAGCCAGCTGGGACCAATCTCGACGAACTATATCCAGACCCTTGTGTTCCTGTTCCCGTTTCAGATTACCCTTGGAATCCTTGCTCAACTTAACAGCAGCATATTTCTTCTTTTTCAGCAACAGCAAACAGCCAAAGACTCCATCAATGTCCAACTCTAGCTGCTTGTAGAGTTTATTTACACTCTGCTTGATGCTGTGACCAATCTTGTAGACCTGATCGTAGTCTGTTATGTTGGTATTGATCATAAGAGAATCTGTGTCACCATAAACCACGTCGTAGTTCAACTTTTGCACGAGTTGTTGGGTATTTGTAAGGATTTCTCTACCCTTGTGGGTAACCAGAGCTGCCAAGTGTTGGGCAAAGAAGCGGGAATGGGCAAATCCCAAGCAACCATACATAGAGTTGGCCGTTAGTTTCAGAGCCATCTGTCGAATGTGGTACTGCATCTGGAGTTCAGGAGAAAGATCAGGCGCTGCCATTAGCTTTTTCACCTCCTTTCGGGATTCCACCAAACGTTTCAACTGAAGGGGTAATATACCAGCTTCTGTCTTCGAATCCGGAAGGGTGGGCAGCTCGTCAGCATCCACAGGTTGCTGGACGGTGGTGAAGCATATGTTGTACTCCTGAATTATGCTTGGATACAGGGAGTTGAAATCCATCAGCAGAACATACTTTTCGTAGAGACCCCGCATGGGTTCCAACACCAAACCACCAGCATAGGCAGCCTTTTTCTTGGCTGGCAAAGTAGCATCAGCGCCAGAAAGTGTCGCCTCTAGATCTCCAGCCGCACCACGCTTGGAAGTCGGCTTTTTGTCCGGCACTATGTAGTTCTTCTCATGGAAAGCATGCAGCAGCAGGAACTCATTCCGTTCAGAGCGACCTCCTTGAAGAGTCCTGGTCATCGTGTTGCCACAAATATTGGTAATTTGCAAAGCCAACGGCATTATATTGAGCTCACACATCAGCCTTAGCAAGTAGGAATTATCCTGCATCGTGAGGGATATGAGCTTGGTGATGCTTTCTCCCTTCTCATACATCTCTAGAAGATCATCGGCATTCACTTCCATTCTCTCAGACTCCTTGAGCTTTAGAACTTGCTTGCATAGGGTTTGAAGATCATAGGATCTGGCTCTTATACACTCCTCCGCTGAACGCTTCACATCACAAACCATTCTGCCCACAAAGTGATCCAGTAAACGCTTTCCAAACGATTGGGTCATCCTAAGACGCCCCATTCGTGACCATTGAGGGATCTTCAAGGCCACAATTTGATCGGTAATAACATTCAGTTGACAATCCATGGAGTCAAAGGTTACAATGAGATCAGCGTCTATTTGTTGGTACTGGGCTAAGAACCAACTTAAAAGGGCTCTCTCCGAATCGTGTTTATATATTTTGGTGGATTTATATTTTGCTATCTCGAAGTTCAAGTCCAAGGGCCAACTAACCACCGCTGGCCGGGTCAAAGCACACATATGACGATTGAAAGCGGGCTGTGGTGCAGGACGATCGATGTGGAAACGATTGTGGGTCAGCATCGAAATCATGCAGATCTCATTTCTTGACGTTTTGGGATTCATCGAGGTGCGGACATTGAGTGCCAGTAGAGTTAAAGGTGGTGGTGGCGCTGGTTTGCCCTTATCCTGCACCAGTTCAACGTTCTTCGGCTCTGACAAGGTGACCTCAGTTTTGCACCAACTCATGGGAGCCGGGCTCACCTTGAATCCACTCACCTGCAACCAGCAGGGTCCCTTGATTTTTCGTTCCAGCAGGAAACGTTCTAAGGCATTGGTGGTGGCACCGAAAATATGCGCTATGGAATTGTACTTCTTGTTAGCCGATAAATTGGGCAGCGGTTTCTTGCCATCGTAGTGCACTTCCAAGTAATCGCAAGTTTGGGGAACTTCAATGCCGATGGCGTGGTGGGCGAAGCTCTTGGTCACCTTGCGGGATCGGAAGGATTCCAGTTTCAGTTCGCTGGCCACCTCGCTGTCAAACTCCTTGTAGATATCTGCCACGGTCACCTTTTGTTTGGTGGGCTCCTTCGAAATGGGGTCCAAGAGCTATAAAATTGTATTCCGGATTAGCAAGGTTAAAAGACAGATTATATTAATCATTTATAGTTATGAAGTTTTGTAAGCAGCAAATGAATTCATATGTATTTAATTTGCTTTTTTTTTAATTGCGTTAAACGGTTTAAAATTGATGCCTACCCACACAGAAAACCACTTTTACTTTTAAATTAGGTTTACAATGCCAATCTATATGGTTTTATGGGCATTGTATTCTAGTAAATGTTTAAATTAGTTTTATTTATAAGAAAGATAGGATGGATTTATAATGGGTATTCAATTATAAAACCTTGTTTTTCTTAGGTATTATTAAATTTGAAAATTTTAAAAATAATATGGAACTTACAAATTGGCGGGGAAGCAGATATAGGACTCGGTTGATGTTCTGCACCCGCAAACAGACGGACTTTCCATCGGCAGTGCGTCCAAAGAGAAAGACCTCGCCGGGCAGCTTTATTGGATCCTCCCATGCCTCCCAGTACCAGAAACGTAGCTGTTTCTCGGACGAGATTGGCGACTCCTGTTCGGTGGTGATAACGGATTTTTCAAAATCGTCGTCCATTTGGCAGATGGACTCCCAGTTGTTCAGCAGTTTGCTCATGTCCTCCGGTTCATTCTCTTTTGGGGAACCAGTTGTCTCCTTTTTGGGAGATACTTTTTCGGCTTCTTTTACTTGCGTTGTCTTTTCTGCTGATGTTTTAGTTTGGGAAACCTTCTCCTTGGGCTGCTCCTTCTCCACATCGAATTGGTTTTCGTCGTCATCTAGACAGCTGAAATCCATCTCGTTGTCGGAGAAGGGATCTTCCTTAGCCTCTTTGGCAGGTGTCTTCTCGGGCAAAGGTTCCTTTTTAATCTCAGGAGTGGAGAAGAAGGCCACCTTTGTGTTCGGGACTGCCGCCTTTGGTTTCAGAATCCGCTCCAGCATCTCGTGGTCACTGCTGGCCTCCGCTTTCTTACGTTCCTGCTCCTGAACTTTAATATTGTTGAGGAAACTGTTCATGTACTCCTTGGCAGCGGCTGCGTCGGACTTTCTCGAGGCAACTGCTATTTTGGCCGGCGCTATTACCTTTTCCACTTTTTCTGAAGTCTCTGCAGGCTCTTCCTTCATTTCTCCCAAAATGTCAGCCAGAATATCATCATCTTTCACACTGTTCTTGATGTCCGCCTTCTTGGGCACCGCATTGCTGAAGAGATTCTTGATGGAGGCCTTTCCCTTTGCTGGTTTTTCAGCTTCCCGGGGTCTCTTTTTGCCGATGGGCGCAACGCCCTTCTTTTCTTGGAGTCTTTTCGATCCTCCTCGCCATCGGAGTACTCATCTTCGTCCTCGAAGAAGTCTCGAAGATCTTCTGCGTAGCCAGTGCCGTCTGTAAAAGGGAATATATTAATAA